CATTCTTCCAAGTGCACCCTTCGAGATGCCGGTTGGCCGCGAGTCATGTTAATTAGGTTTTTTTAGCCGTTCTCGCAGATATTTTTCCGTTTTACTAGAACAAAGACTTCTTAAATGGCTTCATCGTACAAGAGCTTCGTAGGTGTAGGTTCATCGACAATTCTCTTGAACCGCTAGCACCGTCACGATTCGTTTTGCTTCGATGATCATGCCAGGCGATTCAACTACGTTAATGTCTAATCCGCCCTTGTCCCATCTTTTGAAGACAACCCAGGCGAAATTGGTTGAACTCCCGCACTCGCCTCTAAAGTAGCCCAAGATTGACGCGCAATCATTGGAACAGTACGCGTATTAGCCCGAGATGTCGGTCTCGCACAGGAGGCCATCGTCAGAGACTGGGAATCCAACAGCCAGTGAGCGGTTTTTGTAATCAAACAAATAGAAAAGGGGGTATTGCTCGCGATAAGACTGAGTCCTCGGCGTCGTGGCGGCGTGCGTCTCTGGCTGGGAATTGGCCCGCATGAGAACAAAGCGTGTGGTTCTACGCACCGAGGTCTCTACCAGTCCTCCCTTCGTCTCATTACCGGCTCGCGTCATTACCCGCGTGCTCGCTAAGTTGGATTGGGGGATTACTCCAGGATGTGAGTTGCGACCTGAGACATTGGACCTCATCCCCGGAGTGCACGTCTGTGCTAAGTCGTCTGGTCTGCCCTGTATGGTGGCGAGGACAGTCACGACACGGAATCTGATAAACTACGCCAGATTGCTCACTTACATACTTCTAGTCAGTTAATCGTTTGCGGGATTCTGGTACGCACTATGGGCGATACCCACGCTGAACTCTGCAACGATACGTTCCGTTGCTTCCGACATTCTTTCTATGTGGCATAGGGTGGCTTTCCTCCGTTCGTCCCCAGTGGACGCGTACGGGAGCAGCGACTAATAAAGCTGTTTAGGTATTCATTCCTTGCCAGTTTATTCTTGAAGATGCCTTAGCCCTTGTACTCACCCCTCTGGTTCACAGCAATGCGTTTTTTCACTCTAATACAGCCGCTTTTATGCACCATCAGGTAATTGCTATGGTAGTTGAGATCCCGAGTTGAGTGAGTGGCCTTTCCATAGACAGTGGTGCTAAGTTCTCCACTGGGTCAGCGTGTGACGAGGGCGTCGAGGAAAAGGAACTTTTCGGCATTCTCTTCTTCCCCTGTGCTCTAAGTGTAGGATACCATGTCGTTAAGCAGGTCTTGAGGGTCTGATAGTTTGCTTCTTTCAATTATAGCAAACGTGTCGTCCACACAGGGCCGTAGTGGTTGAAAGCGACTTTCTCCGCCTTCTGTAAGACCAGTTCTGCAACTAGACTGGATATTTAGGAACCCGTCGGTGTCTTTCTGATCTGACCGCAAGTTCGCCATTAACGGTAAAAAATGGCTTCGTTGGCAGAAGACAAAGAGTGGCAGTCAGTGGTCAATTGTCTGAAGTCTCCTTGTTTCGCTATAGTTCTCTTCGAGCCATTTACATAAAACATCGCATTATCCAGTGGGATAGACGTGAATAACGAAACCGCGTTGAGGGATACCGTAATGTGCTCAGGTCGGACAGTTTTCCCCAGATCTCGGCCAGGAGTTGGGGGCCGTTTTGAGCCCGCTTGGACACAGTTAAACTTTCAAGCCATCCATTTGGATAGATTGCAGGTGGGACTGTCTTTTACGGCAAGGACTGGCCGAAGGGGACGTTGGGTTTATGAACTTTGGGTAGTCCATGGCGCTGGGCCATTTCCGCATCCGTTGGTCTCGCCTGTCATTCGTCCGGCGATATCACGTTGCTGTTGAGTTGGTTCAGGAGTTTTGTTTACTGACCGATCATCAAGTTGGCCTGTGATGAAGGCGGAAATTTCTAACACTGATGGGCATCGATGAGGGCTTATGCTTCCCCGTTGTAATCGACACGATCCATCTTGATGGTTTCTCCTCCTTTGTCGCCCGGCAGCACTATTATATCCTTGTCCACTTCTAGTGCCTTCTTTGCTTCCATCTTTGCGGGCGACAGTATTCCTAGGTCTATTCGTCATAGGTAGGGAGGTGACTTTCTGGCGCACGGTGTGCTTATCTTCGTCGGCCGCGTTGATCCACAGCGGTGCAACGATTGTCGTTGGTCATCACAGACGCCGCTTACTCGGTAGTTACAGGTTGCCATACGACCAATATGTACTTCGGACTTAGCGCATCTGGAGGCAAAGAGATGCAAGTTCCATCGAGCGTCCTCGTCGGTTGTGCTGCCCAGAGCCCAGTCGTCGACAAAGGGAGTGGGGTCATCTATCCTGTCCTCAAGGGGTTTTCGTGACAGTATTTGATACCAGGTGTAGGGTGTACGCCAACACTGTGTAGATAGTCAGGTAAGTGCGTGCAATGTGCGCAAATGCCTAGTTAGCAACGCTGAGAGGGGGTGTCGTAGTTGATTCAACACTCCCATGTGACGTATATGAGGTCCTGCAGCCGTCCCCATCGCAGCCGCCAGCTTTCCGCCTGGCACTGCATGTGAGCTTGTGACTCGGTTTGCCTTCGGTTGGCCCATGCTGTGACGCCTATCGGCACTTTTTGTCTGCATCGACTGGCCGCACCCGCACAATGCTCAGACGCAAGCACACTTCACGCCCGGGCAAACAACTTAGGTGGCCGACACGGCGAGTTGGAAAACTTGCTGCAACAGCCTGTTGGGCTGCGTGTGCGCCCTCTGGCCTTATTAGTTTGTTCGATAATTCTGTCGCAACTGACTTTGGTTTTGAGAGACTCGGGGTGCTCACCCGTCGCACATCGACAAGTGCTGGCTTCCTGTGATCACCAACCTTCCCGGTCTTAAGTCTTCATTATAGTCGGGCGGGGACTGGACAACTTTCTACCAGAAGTGCAGTACGCCTTGGCACTCGCTCCCAGCTTTCTTTTGGTCGCCCAACTCGTCAGATGGCCAACCGCCTGATTCACGACGTCTCCAAGCCCTCCGTTGCCGCACTTATGACTTCAGCTTGTTCTGCGTATCCTCCCCGAAAATGAGGCCTTGGATTGCGAATTTTTCGAGGGATTAGACTTATTTTCTCACACTGACAGCCACCGTTTCATCCCCGAGCCCATCGAGGTCATTTGTCTGACAACTCCTGTACACTTCGTCATCTCGTCTCAGCGCATCTACCACTTGCTGGTATTATGCTGCATTTTGTGCCAAAGCCCGTTGCCGCACCCCTCCCTCCTAATTCATCTCGAAACAGAACCAAGGGGTCAGTGCAGCCAATATCCTGGCTCCTCCGATTCTGGTCACACTTTTTACATCTGCGACTCGTGTCACTGTTTCCTTTCGGCCTGCTTTTTCTAAAGACAAATGTACGACACAGGAAAACCCTTGCCGATCCGTAGGGAATCGCGAAATTTCTGGTTTGACCGCATAAAGTCAGCGGAAGTTACTAGCTGACAACACATGATGACGAGCTACAAGAACCATGCAAATTTCCTAAACGCGGCCATCGTATTAGTTATGCACACTTGGGAAATAGTGTTACTTTTTTTAGGCTCTGTGCGTGGGCCCAGGATTCTGACTGTTTGACTGCTACGCTGTAAATTGCCCACGGTAGGACTGATTTTTTTGCCCGACATTGACAACTCACTACCGCCAGCCGGACGTGTGCTGCATGCGACTTAATATCGTTAAAAACACTCATTTGCCGGCATATATACCGTGGCGGGTAGGGTAGCAGGTGTACCTTAACCCCTACATACATGGGATCGGACAGCAGCATCAAAAGGACGAGTGAGGAGTCTGTTACGTAAAGAACGTTGGACTGCTGTCTCCGGCAGACGTTGCTCTGGACGAGAGCTGGTCGTGTTTAGGAGTGCGTCCGAGTGCTCCGCGCTATCTGGGTGGCCTGGTGTTCAGGTGCGCATATACCCGAATGACTGCCTGGACATGAATGTGTCAGCGGAGGTCGACATCCCTCTGATAGACTTCGGGCATGAGCTCAGGCCTGGACAGAATTTAGGCGTGGTGACGGCGCCCAAGCAGCATAATGTAGTTCCCGAGCCCTTGCAACACTTCTCGACTCGGACCTACGAAACTACAGAACCACAACCAAGCAAAATGCGCCCTCGCCTATGCCGGACGAAGTGGCACCTCAGGTGGGCAGCGATGTGAGACGGGGATACAGTCCATCAACACCAAGCCAGCGAGAACGCGACAATCTACTCGCGTAGTCTCGAGCGATTCGCATTTGGATGAATAGAGCTCTGTACAGTTATGCATAACGCACCTACCGGTTGAACTCCGGTAGCATGGCGACCACCGAGAAGGGACACCACCCGCCTGAGATATTTTAGTAACCCAGAGCAGAGTCCAGCAGGCCCACTTAGCCGTCCGGACCAGAAATAGGCGGACCAACGCCAGCTCAGGTTGGCCCTTCGCATGCCGGTTTGCACGCATGCTGCCGGTTTTCGACTACCCCAACTGCAAATAATTAACCGTGCGTAAACTTGTGGAGGGACTGGTAGACCGTGCAGCATGCAGCAGCCGCGACCGAAGGCATGCCTTGCAGTTAGTAGAAACTGCTGCTTAAGTAGGTCGGCACATTTACGTGATCAGCTGACCACGTAGACTAGCATCCCATGTCGCTCACAGGACGCCTTTTCCGACGTGCGACTGCCTTCCGCAAGACGATGCAGTTCTTAATGCGAGTCTCGCCCTGCGATGTATGCCCCTTAAAGGCCAAGGCGGCTTCCCGAGGATTAAGCCCGCTCCAACTCAAGCTCTCCCCTCGCTGGCTGCGTTGCACCACCGGAGGGCGTGTCCCGCAGAGGTCCCGGCTGAGATTCGCGAGCGATACGCAGCCAAAATCCGGCGGCATATTAACCTCCCCAACCGCCGCCAAGCGAACCAGGAACCCAGGAAGAGGTGAACAGTAAGATAAACTGAGAAAAAAGTCACACAATCATTTGTGGGGCCCACCACTATGCCCTCCAAAGTCAGGTCTTGGCAGTCTTGTCGGTCTTCTTGGGCAGGAGAACAGACTGAATGTTCGGGAGGACTCCGCCCTGTGCAATGGTGACACCGCCAAGCAGCTTGTTTAACTCTTCATCGTTACGTATGGCGAGCTGTAGATGGCGAGGGATGATCCTCGTCTTCTTGTTGTCGCGAGCGGCGTTGCCGGCAAGCTCAAGAACTTCCGCAGCTAGATACTCCAGCACAGCAGCCAGGTACACTGGAGCGCCGGCACCGACACGTTCAGCGTAGTTACCACGGCGGAGAAGCCTGTGGACGCGACCGACGGGGAACTGTAGTCCGGCACGCGCCGAACGAGTCTTTGCCTTCGCGCGCGACTTCCCTCCTTTGCCTCTACCGCTCATTCTGGCGAGACGTTAACGGGAGGACGGCTGCACAATATACATATATATATGACTGTAGATGCAACAACCGCCGGCCCTGCCCTTCCCATTCGCTCACATTCAGACAAAGCACAGCAAGAAATAACCAATCAGCTCTACGAGCTGCAGTTTTCTCGAAACTTATAGGCTTGCAGGTCTGTAACGCAATAATGTCACAAGGTGCAGCTCGCCGCGCAAACTACCAATGGAAGGGCGGCTTCATGCCTAATCGAGATTTGTTAACCTACGCGACAGATTTTGGAATCCATCGTTCGTCGTCTTTTTAATAGACGTGTCCAGACCAGTCCAGCGACCGCAAATAATTCAGCAATGGTCATCTCGCCCGTGTTGGGCGCTAGACTTTTCTTTCTGATTGCTCGTCACCCACCGACCCGTTTCCAGGGCTCAAACGCAGAGCCCAGAGACAAGGCCAGTCACTTGCTCCCACGCTACTCCCATGTTGGCTTTGCGTAAAGTGGTCTCACGCGTGACCTCTTTGGAGCAAACGTTGGAATATAGCTCCTTAGGACCGCAGAACTAACGGACGCCGTGCTGACGGTTCGAACAGTGGGTTCACCGAATAGACGTTTATTGTCCCGACTGGCTGTCTAGGGGCAGCTGAGGTGTTTGCCGTCATGATCGGGAATGACCATCTTTGTCATCTTGTAACGAGACAGATGACACGCAAGTGTGCTTTCTCATAAGGACAATTCACGTGCAAGCCACCACAGCGCCCACCTCATCCAGCAGTGGTAGGAGGTGCGAAGCTGGTTTATATTCTAAACGGGGATAAATGAAGCCCTGTGGTCAGACCCTGTCAAGTTAGCGGACTAGAATACTTGGGTTCGTTAAAGGCTGTTGTCTTTCGAAGGCCGGTAACCGCGCACGGGGCCTAACCCCGGGTAGTGACCGGGCCATGTGCTGGTAGGGCGTAATCGGTTCGATGCCAGGAAGCTTTAGTTGGTCGTGCCCTGGGGTGACCAGTAAACAGGGCTCTTTGGGGATGCTTGTTTGGTGTTGGTGCTTTCCCAAAGCATTATTTCTGTAGGTCTGTGACGCTAAGCGGCAAAAATTTTGCATGCAACCGCACTATGCACGCACTGGTCGTTGTTTTTAAGAATCCGACGATTTTCGGCTAGTGCGCGTAATAAACAGTTGCCGAGCTCCTTTACCCATCCGGAGATGTCGGAAACTCCCAACTGTGCCTTGCGTTAACTCTCTTTGAATCCTCGGCTTTAAGTAACTGGACGGATCCAGTTTTCCGGCGTTTTTCGCCGTTTACAGACTTCCCTCACCAGTGTATTGTCGTTCGTTCTTTGCCTGAATCTTGACGCGGTATGGCACTGGCACCTGTGTCGCAGCAGGGTTTCTACTCACAGAAGCCAAAGTTGTCACGTTTTTCTCCATCGTCCCGCAGCGAAGGCATAAAAGTGTGCCATAAATGTTTGGGCTGCATAAGAGGAGGTTACGTGCTCTAAGACGGTGTGTGTTACATTGTACAGAAGTATACGTTTTGTCATAAAACTTATACTATGAATTCAGTAGTGGGATATTATCATTCTGCGTGGTGCAGGTTAGTGGAGAGGTAAGAAGATTTTCTCGGGGTAGGGGATCTAGACGCCCGAGAGGATGTTCAGCCATAACCATTTCAACGGCCTCACAAAGGACGTTTCTGCGCTTATTCTGCCACATATTCAACAGTACTTGCCTCGGATATTTTCCTCAAAGAGTAAAACCCTTTATCTTGATCAGCTTAGTTGGCCACGAGATAATCCCCACCCCTCACCAAAGGCTACTTTGCGCCATATCCCAAGGGGAGATATCTATTTCCGTGTTATAATTTTAACCTCAACACTAACCGCCCTAACTTTCCCTGGTCCTAGCATGCCTAATATTTAGCGTGTGATCGTTTACAATGCAGAAGTGCGTACCCCGTGCCCTACGGTGCCTTACGGTGAGCTGGGAAACCATCAAGGTTCTGAATGACATCTATTAAAGTGGTTGAACTGTGAACGAATTTCATAAAAATGAATTATCTTCGAACGGGAAGCGCCGGTTGTAGTTTGGATACAAGACCTGCAGACCATAAAGGATGTCCGGAGAGTGACTTGCAAGACGTGGAGTGTCTGAGAGGGAGGAAAGAGTGACCTAATTCTATGAATTAGATTATCCTGTCAACATTGTAAAAGTTCATAAATGGTCGGTCTTTTAGGTATCCATATTTCTGACAGGCATCATCAGTAAGGAGCGGGGCGCGGACGAACGACTGCCGAGCATTTAACCTGTTGATATAATAATTTTGAAGCTGATCCTGCTGTCAGGCAGCCAGTAGTAGTTGCAGCATCTTTGACTTGGACAAGATTGGAAAGACGCATTTTTGTTCTTTCGTCCAAGGAATACACATGGAAAATTTTCAGCATTACTAAATAGCATGGGTGTGGATGTTTTTCTATCAGAGGATCTCAGACATAGACTTCCACGCCTCAAAGCCCATGTATCCCTTCAATTATGACGTAAGGGCACAAGGGAATATTTAGTCGGAAACTTGATTGCTTGAAAAAAGCAGAACTTAATGCTAAGAGTCTATTCCAGCCTCCGGTAGGTCCCTTTTTCGTTTGATCGCCAAAATGTCATTATTTTAAAACGTCTAAAAACAAGTGACAAATTCCCTTGTCGGAACACAGAAGTCCCTGGGAAGACATGCTCCCACAATCGCACAGTCCCTATTTGGTGGTCAACGAACATCAAGGGATGAGGTGGACTCAGTTGTAGGAGAAGTTACTGACACCTACTTTTCCCCGTCTGGTTTCAGACGTCCATGGCTAATACCTCAAGTAACGAAGAAACTGGTTGGAGGAAATCAACCAGACAACGCCGGAATCCCTTCGATAAGTTGCTGGGAACTTGGCGGGCCGTCAACGTTTCATCCACTGCTTAGGATAAGGGAGACTCAGATCGAGAGTCAGTGGACACGCTGCCAGCACGCAGGCCGGTGAGCTATACGGGTAATGCTGTATGACGCTAATTTCCTTTGTAGGTTGCCATGACCCGTCCTGCTGCTCGGTTATGAGCGAAATGCAGGCGCAAATAAGACGACAAGGGCAAACCATCGACTTCATACGCAAGCAACTGGCTTGACTCTCAAAGAGCGACTTGCACTAAGTCCGACTTCTTGTAGGTCAACATTAGGCTGCATGACCCTCGCGTCAGGAGCCAACAAGTAAGGCTTGAGGGATTTTATTACATGTTCATAGAAGAACTTCCTGGTGTACCTCGGGTGATTTTGTGAAAAGGGTATTTTTTGCCTTTTTCGACGACGAGACAGCCATACACATTAAAGGAAAGAAAACTAAAAAGGGCCTGTTTGGTTCACAGGTGTACGACGTGATAAAAGGTAGGCCTTGCTTATATGTAACTCTACAGGCTAAACGGACGTTTACGCAGTCTGGAACAGAGGGGCCCCTCTGTCTTGGCAGAGACGTTGTAGTACTTCAACGGAGAAGGAGTATTTTCGCCTTTAAGTTACACCACGGGGCGCTGCTCTGATTCCTAGGAGATAAGCGACAACCAAGATGACGCGGAGAACTCCAATGACACCCTTCCCTCGAGGCAGCCGCTGCAGGTTGAGGGTAATAAACCCTTCAACTGACTTATCCAAGAGAGTTGCACGAAACGCTACCCAGCGACCGGCTGCCCAACTTGGACAGGGCCGTGGCGGGCATGCCTAGAAAGTTAGACGTTATTCTTGACAGTAACCACCGGCTGCACGGTCGCATAAGTGAACTGGGAGCTAAGGAAGGTTAATCAAAGGCCACCTGCCCCTGCGGCTACCCCGCTGCAAAAGCCTATGCGGAAAGCAGCGGAATTCCACCGGTTAACTGCGTTGCTGGAGGACACGAGAATACGGAGGCAACTTGTAGGCTGTCCGTTTTATCACTATACAGAACATAAAGAGTCATTTCTCACTTGTCTAGGCGGGAACAACCTGGACGACTTAGTCCAGCGAATATTATTTGCGCTTTTTGAGGACGAAATTGGCCTCCACGTGAACTCGAGGTTTGTAAACTGAAAGATAACCTTGGTCATTCCAAAGTTTATAAAGTCATATTGGGTAACTACGCAATTAAGCGTCCCACTATCTACATTTGTAGGTGTTTTCGGCGCGTGGAACACCAATGGCGCGGCCAAGCTGTCCGACCTGAGGTCTGCCTACACAAAGCGACTCAAGAGGCCTTTGGACAATTACGTTCCACGTCACCGAGAGGACAGTAACAAAACAAACTGGACAGGTGAATAAATTCCAACTTTATAGCATTAACCCTGCCCTAGTAGCAATCTATATCGAGACGCTATCTATTAGATATCTATTTTCCGAAGTACTTATATCCACTAGATATCGATTTTGTCCGCTATCCAGACATCGAGTAGATATCTATTTTTCGAGATACTCCGAAGTCGGCGATAGCGACACGTTAGGCTGTAGTACTCGAGCCACCCAAGGGTACTATCCTGTCTTCTTATTTCTTTCTTTCTTTTTCTTTCTTCTTCCTTTTCTTCTTCCTCTTCTTCTCCTCCTCCTTCTTCTTCTTCTTCCTCCTCTTCTTCTTCTTCTTCTTCTTCTTCTTCTTCTTCTTCTTCTTCTTCTTCTTCTAGGTGACAGTCCGTATAGGCTTCCTTGGAACTTCTGCCTGGTCGAGCGTCTCCTCGGCTGGAATCCTGAAAATTAGCGCGAATTGAGTTCATCATCCGCAAGTGCAAGCGTACGCAGATAGACTAGGTTGACGATGGAAGAGTTTATTAAAAGAAATACATCAACCGGGGTAATTAGTCCTGTTCCGTCTTCTTGTCGTCTTCCTCCTTATGGGCGGTCCCTCGACTGGCCCCCTCACACTCTTCCACGGCGGTCACTAAAAAGGTACGTTCGGAACACAAATCACTCAAACGGTAGAGGAAAAAAGCATGGCAGGGACACTTTAAAACAACAAGGTCAGGACGTCGTTCTACAAGGCATTGCGCAAGCTGCGTTTACTTGTCCTTATAGCCATACCTAGTTGTCTGTTCGCCTTTGTCATCCCAGCCCCGGACTGCTGTTGTTCACGTTATAACGCATTGAACGGCCAAATTCGCGTGATTATTTCAACCGTAGCAACTAGATCTACCAAAAGAACTATCTTGAAGACGTGTTATTTGGGAAATATTTTATTCGATCAAATTATTTAAAAATGTTTGATACATAGATTCATCTTGTGTGGATAAAGGCCCATCGCTTGTCGACCATCGTGGATTGTTGTTATAGGGTAGGGTTAATATTATAAAATTGAAATTTAATCACCTGTCCAGTTTTTGTTGCTTACTTCCTTCTGCTGTCGTTGGATGTACTTATCCAAGGACCTTTTGAGTCTTTTTGCGAACGCATACTCAGTGTCCGACATTTTGGCAGCGTCATTTTTGTTCGTTTCAAGCAGCGAAAACGTTTACAAATGTACATAGCGGGAGGCTTAATTGCAAACTTACCCAGTATGACTTTGTACACTGCCGAATTACTGAGACTGTCTTTCAGTTTCCGACC